GCAGTTTCCCTCTCTGATTGTGAGAATTAAGTTAGGTAATGTGTATAACGTCCACAGCACTGTTTCTTGTACATGGTAAGTACTCCATGAACATGAGCTGCTGCTACTATGTTGATCTGGACTTCTCCAAGAAAAGAGGGTGCATTGGGAGGTAAACCCCACTATATTCATATGACAAAGGCAGTCAGAGCTCTCCCATCAGAGCACTCCAAATCACTGATCCAGCTTCCTTCAGGAGAGCTCAATTCTACTCCAACAATCAGCATGTTTAATGAGGCCCCCCAGTGGCCCCTGTGGCACTGTCCCCTGCCCCCTCTGAGATACGCACACCATGGGCACGGACTCGATACAAGCACGTGAAACGGGGATGGCCCCAGTTGCTTAGAATCTGGATCTTCACCTTGGGAAAGGCAGCTGGGGGGTCATTCTGGGGAGACAAATGGATCACGCCAAGACGTACTCTCCCAAGAGCTACCCTCCTCCCCAATCCTCCATCCCTCGCTGCTCCATTCCCTTAGCACCTTCACCCCCAGAGACAAACACACCTGCAGGTGGAAAGTCTGAATCTCAGATTTCTCCACATCGAAGGTGAACTTCCCCAAGAAAACTTCAGTCTCGTCATCAACCTGAAGGCCCTGATGAGTGAAGAATGAATGAACAGTGAGGCACAGGTGGAGAGGAGAAAAGTTTGCTGAGTATCTTCTATGTGTTCAATAGCTATATAGATGCTGTCATGTATTTTTTTTCTTTATTTAAATTGACAACAAGAATGTCATATATTTTTTGATGGTAGGATACTGTAGTGTAGAATGTGGGCTTTGAGAAACTGGGTTTTAAATTTTAGTTCAGCCAATTGTTGGCTGTATTACCTTGGGCAAATAATGTCACCTTTCTGAACATTACTTTCCTCATCTGTAAAGAGAGATAATAATAGTACTTCATAATTTCTTATGTGGATGCGATGAGATAATGCTTGGAAACTCCTTGGCACAGAGCGGGCGCTCAATAGGCCATAACTCATATTTGGACACGGTTACAACTATAACCTACAGCAGCCCTAAGAGGCAAATAGTAGTATCTCCATTTTATGGATGAGCAAACTAAGACTCAAAACTGAAACCAGTTTTCATGACTGGGGCTTTCTAGGTAAAATCCCCCACCTCCTGACCTCAGCTCCACTCACAAAGACTGCGAAGTCGCGGGGAGCGCTGTTGGCTCCCCCGGTGTGCGCCACGCTGGGCGGCGGATGCTGCAGAGTGATGTCGCTCAGCTGCACACGACCTGGCAGCCGGATCACAACTTGGCCCTGGTCGCCCTCAAAAGCCCAGCAATTCCCAGGGAACACGTCTGGCTGCAGACGGGCGGATAGACCATCAGAACCAGAGGACACAGTGACTGCCGTGCTTCCCCAGTGTGGGCAGGTATCGGATCAGGTAGGCTCCGCCTTCAGCTCGACCCCAACTTCGGTCCCGCCCGGAGCTGCGCCTCAGGCCTCCGTCCCTGGCCAGCCAGATCCCGCGGAGGGGCACAGGCCTCCGCACTGCCTGTTCACCCCTGGACTCGCCCAAAGCCACACCAAGCCAAATCAGGCCCAGCCTCCAGCGAGGCCCATCCTCTGCCCAGCCAGGCCCACCTAGCTCCACGCCCTCAGCTCAGCCGGGTCCAATCTCCAGGGAGTTGTTCTGGATCCTTTCCCCAGCCTCCCGCCCCTCGTCCTATCCTGGGATTGTTTCCAGCTCACCTCCAGAATAACCGTGGGCGGCCGTGCATAGTTCCAGAAGCTGAAGCGATTCCAGAAGTAGGCAGTGTTCGTGTCTTCGTAGTCATGGGATGTCTTCTCTAGGTCAATGGAGGCTCCTAGAGCAAGGAGGAGAAGTAACCCTCAGGGGCTCCCAGGCCTTACCGACAGCTGGGTGACGGTCTGTCTGAGGTTCTGTCTTCTTCCGCTGGCCAGGTGCATAGGTCTGTCTGTGTCCATTTCTCTGTCTCTCAGTATCTCAGGGTCTTACCCACAGAGCTCAGCGCATAGTCGGGTTTCCGCACAAAGTCCTCATTCAGCCTCTGGAACACGAGCTTAGCCACTCTCTGAAAAGAGGGAGGGCGGAGCCTGGAGGAGCGGGACTTGCGGACTGGTCGTACAGTGGGCGGGATTCCCTGGGAACTAGGTGCTCTGGGGGCGATTTTGTGGGCCTCAGGAAAAATCACGCAGGGCTTTGGGGCGGAGCTTAAGCCTCAGAACCCAGAGAGCGGGGATCCACCAGGGGTTCCCAAGGTGGGCCGGGGCTCACCTCGCTGTTGGCTGCGCGGACGCTGGACACCTCCTTGTACAGTTTATCCAGCTCGGCCTGGAGCTGCTGCAGCTGCTGCCCCTGGGAGCGCACGCGCTCGTGGTACTCACTGGAGGTGGGAGGTTGGCGCAGTGCAGTTGGCTCCCTGTCCCTTTGGACACCTCGCTTAAGGTCCCCCATGCTCCCACGTTCGAACCCTCCAATTTCCCACCCTAGGTGTCCTCTTTCACCTTAGACTCAGCATCTCCTTAGGTTCCTATTGGAGGAAGGAGGGACAAAATACCGGGCTGCTCAGTTCTCCTCCCCCTTTTCCCACTTCAGCCTGGGAACAGCCAGGCTCAAAGTGCCTACTTTCTGAGGACTCTGCTCCATTCCCTAACTCTTCCTTAACCTTCCAGGATCATAGCTTCTCAGAGACCCTCAAGCACCTCTGGGCACAGTCCCTCAGAAATCTGTATATCCAGCCCTCCAGCCCTTCTTCAGGATTAGAGCCTCTGGCACTGCCCCCCTCCCAGCAACCCAGGAGACTCCCCACAATCTCCAGGTTCACACCTGCCAACCACCCACCCAAGGACACAGTCTCCCCAACTCACATTCTCCAAGGGAGGGACCAGATACAGGAGGCCCAACCAGAGTGCTAGAGAAAGAAAGGCGGGGGGGGGGGGGCGTCTCAGGAGAAGATACAGGAAGAGAAGGGGGTTCCCTGGCATAAGGGGACAGTGAGAAGAGTCTCGACAGGGCTGAGTCTGGGGAGGGTGGGGAGTCTGAAGGGGTGCTAGCAGGCTCTGAAGGGAAATGCTAGGAGCTTCTGAAGGGGCCGAGTGGGCTGAAGAAAATGTGCTGAGTTTGGCTCCAAAGCAGCCAGGGCTGGGGCCCCAGGGAATTCACCAGCCCTCACCTGCCAGAAAGAGGCTCAGTAGCGACACAGCCGTGAGGAGGAAGCGGATGGAACAGACTTCCCTGAGGAACCGGAGGGAGGCTGAGGCCCCAGACCCTAGTCAACCCCCCAGCCCCCACCCTGAGGTTCTAGACCCAGCTCTTGCGAACACAACTCAACCAGATCTGAATCGGCTCAAGCATCAGCCAGGTCCTGGCACTGCTCCCCACCCCCTCCAAAGAGCAGCCCCTGAGGTGCCTCGTCCTTCCCTCTGACCTGTACACACTGACCAGCACGTCTCCTACCAGGGATAACAACACGCTCAGCACCTGGAAGAGTAGGCCTGAGGACAGGAGAGGGGGCTCAGAGAGGGGCAGAGATGAGGAGGCGGGGACTCAGAGAGCATAGTGTTCCAGGTTCAGAAGGGGACCAGGGATGGGCCCGGGACTCAAGAAGAGAGGGGTGAGGGGTGGGCTAGGAGAATTAGATGGGCGCTAGGAGAATGAGTTGAGGCTCAGAGAAAGGGCTGGATAGTCAGACATGGGCGGGGGCCTCAGAACGGAGAACCAGGTCTCAGAAATGAGAACTGGAGTTTAGGGAGGGGAGCTGGAGGGTCAGAGGGGATCAGGACTGGCCTGGCTCGTACTCAGAAAGCTCTTGGACACCCGCGGGGTAGGCATCTCCTGTCTGAGATCCAGGGTCGAGAGAAGGTCGAGCGGCTCCTCAGAGACTACAGGAGACTCAGCCGGGTCTGTGGGAGCCCAAGGGCTCCATTGGGGCCTTGCGCACCGCAGGCCCACTTTTCCCTCCCCCCCGGCCCCGGCGGCAGGTTCCCCAGCCCAGATGCCAGAACGCTGGGCAGCCTCTCCAGGCTTTGCTTCCTCTCACCATACTCCCAGGTCTGTCTGCGCATTCTGAGTCCCGCCCCTCACAGAGGCTCAGTCAAGAATTGGTCCCACCCCGCAGACAGATTCTCCGCCCCAGCCTTAGCTCTTGGCGCGGCCGGGTTGTCCCAGTCTCACACTAACACTGTGGCCGCGCCTCCTCGGTGGTGCCCAATCACAAGATTTCACCCGCCCCTTCCCACGACCGCCCATCACGCAGAGGCCACGCCCCTTAAGGGATCTTATTAGCACCACCCCTTTACCCTACAGGTCCCCCCATAGGAGGTCCTCAGACTTAATTTTAAGCCCGCCCCCCCGCCCCGCCCCGCCCCTTAGTCCCCGCCCCCTCCATCGGCTCACCCGAGTTCGACCCCGCCCGCACCCGAGGCCCCGCCCCTCACGGTTGCCGCGCCACAGGCGGTCTGCCCGTTGTAGCTCCGAGGCGCCGGCTTCTGCCGAGAGCTTCCTGCCCATGTGGTTCCTCCGGGCACTCCCGGGCTCAAGGCGGGCTCACCGCAGCTTGAGCCCCGGGCTCTTCTGCCCTCGGCCTCCCCAGGCCCCGGCCCAGCTGACCGGTGGCCGTTGCTGTCCTCTGAGGTGACGCTCATTGAGCTGTTGCTGTTGTCGCTGTAGAAGTTGGGCGTGTGCTTGCGCGGGGACGCAGCCGAGCCCGTGCGGGGGCTCCGCCGCATCCTGACCGGGCCGCCCCCTCGCGGACGCCAAAGTCGCCGCCGCAGTCGTCAAGGCCCTGGGCCCTCCCTCAGCAGCTGCGCGCCGCGGGGACCCCACGGACCCAGCGTGCAGCCGGCAGGCCCCGCGGCTGGACCCAACCCTCTGGCCTGTGTCTGGTCCCAGCTGCTGATGTCACAGAGGAGACCACGGTCTCTGCGGAACGTCCTGGCCGCGCGTCACAGAGCTAGCGGTGACGTCTCTGGGAGCCATGGCAGCCTCTCTCACTCTTTCTGACGTGTGAAGACAGCAATGACATCACAACACCTCCCAGAACACCCCATCTAAAATTGCACCCAGGGTAAAACAAGCTCTATCCCCAGTCCCTGCTTTTTCTCATACATGCTGTATATTTCACTTATTTATTTCATTATTGCCTGTCATGCCCACTAGAATGTAACCTTTATGAGGGCAGGGACTTTTGTTTGTTCACTGTTGTATCCTTCAGCACCTAGATAGGCCTAGCGTGTAGTAGGTGCTAAAATATTTGTGACTGATTGAGTGTTAAGAAGAAGCAAGCCATCACCCCTTGCACTTTCTAAATAAACATTTTAGTCCCTTTTGCTCTGCAAGTCGTGCAGCCCTTTCCTCCCATCCCAGTCATCAGGCCCGAGAACTCTGCCCTCAGGATCTGCAGGTCTCTCTCCAGCCCCATGTTCCTCAGGGATCTGTGGGGTGTGAATTCAGCACCCACCTATGATTATACCCACACTCAGACCATACACCTGAGCCATGGAGAATGGACTGAGGAATCACAGATGGTCACAGCCAGAGGACCAGAGGTTCCCAAACTCCTGCTGTGCACCAGAATACCAGGGACACCTTGAGATCCTACTGCAGCATTTCTGGTGTGGGCCCAGGGATGCACATTTTTAACAACCACTTCCGTGATCCTGATTAAGGACCACACTTCACAAAGCAATGCAGTGCATCCTGTGCAAGTTACACAGTGAAGCAAACAAGTCTAGAGAGGGGAAAGGACTTCCCTGAGACCACATAGTGTATAGCAGATTAGAATTCCAAAATCCTTCCCTCTAGCCTAGTACTCTTCCCACCCCATTGCACCTTCCTTAGAATGTTAGGAAGTGGAAGTGGCAGTCCTTAGAGGGGTTGAGGCACAGGAACAACCTGTTAAGCTGTGCTCCAGCCTAGAGGGGAGATGCCCATGCCAGGCTCCACAGGGGTGACATCAATATCTTGCTGATTAGAAACTGCAGACCCCAGGAGGAGGAAGGGGAAGGAAGGCCAAGACACTGCAAACTAAGGATTCTTGTCTGTACATCCCACCCTACCTGCTACCCCTGGCCTATTTCATGTTTGACTGTGAACTCCTTTGGGTCCCAGTGTCCTCATCTATTAAAAGGGGGAGGTAAAGCCCTCCCTCAGTATCTGAGGGTCTTCAGGTCTAACCTGGTCCTTGCTTAGAAACAGAACAGCCCATTCCTCTTGTCTGGCATTTCATGGACCCCCAAACTCATTTGAATACCTAACAAAGGAGAAATAGGCAGAACAGGGCTTTCCCATCCCAGTACAGAGATAGAAAAGCTGAAACACAAAGAGGGACCATGTCTGGCTCAGGGCCACATAGCAAGACCCAGCTCCTCTGTCTAATCTTATCTCCTGCTGCTGCTGCCCAATATACATTCCTTGTATTCAGGCCAAACCAAACCAAACCAACCACATGTCCCAGAACACACTGTGCATTCCTCCCCATTGCCTGGATATTTGTCTCTGCTCCCAACTTTTGTCCTCTTGTCCCGTTTAAAAAACTCCTTCAGGGAAGCCCCTGTGACCTCCCTCTTCTGACCTCTGTGACCCTGACTGTTTCCTGCTGTGATGGGAATTGCAGTCTTTTTAGGCTTGTTAGGTATTGGAGTCTGTGAAGCCACTGGAAGACAGAAGATATCTGAAGCCACCATTCACCATCTGAAGCCACAGAAGACAGAAGCCACCATTCTGTGGCTGCACCCCCTACAGGGTGGCATAGCATAAGTCCTGCACATAGGAGGTGTTATTAAATACAATAACTAAGGGGATGGCTGTGAAATGCAGCAAATGCATAGTTACTGTTACCTATTGTGGGTCCAGACTTCAGGATACATTCATTACTTCATTCAGCAAAAGTACTGCACATCTGTTTAAGGGTTATTAACCTAAGCTAGGAGGTCTTGGTCCAAAAGAATGTACATATGCTCAATATGTTACAGAAAATTTCAAAGGTTTGTGGACTCCATGGAACCATCCTATGGTCCCACTGGGGTCCTTGGACCCCAAGTTAAGGACCTCTGGCTTCTAGCTTGAACACCTACCATGTACAAGCTAGAGGCACACATTAAATCACTCATTAATTCAATAAATATGTTGAATACGTATAGCACTAATGCTGAGGGACAGGGGATTCATTTATTAATCCATCCATTTATTCAGACAGTGTTTTGAGGGTCTACCATGTGCCACACCCTGAACTGGGCATGGAGGATAGAAAGATGAACAAGAAGGAACAGAAGGCCCATGCCCTTGAGACGTCATAGGCTGGCAGGGAACAGACTGGGGTCCTGTCCTCTTCCCTTGCCCACCATATCATAGTTCCTACTCCACAAGGATCCAGGATGGAGACTGAAGCAGTCCTGCCAGCTTGTAGCTAGCTGGTGCAGGCAGGGAGGATTGAGGTAACTATAGGGACCCTACCCCCAACTCTCAGTCCCCTCCTCCCTCCCCACCCATGACCCCTAGGCTTGCTGCCTGTGTGTTTGACTAAAGGGCAGGGATTGCTGAACCTGCTGGATTAGTCCAGTGAGTCAGAGGCGATTCAGGTGGGCGGGCAGGTGGGCAGGAGGGCAGGCAGGCAAAGGGAGTGCCAGTGGCACTGGGACCATGGCTCTGACTGTGTGTGTGCGGCGACTAACAGGGCTGCCGGGCACCCACGATCGACAAGTGAAGCTCAGCTTCCGGGGTGAGGCTTGCAGGGGTGCTCTAAGGATTTTTGGAACTGCAGGGCTCTGGATCCTCCATTCCCCAGACCCTGAGCCCAAGCCCTCACCATCTTTACAGCCTGTCTCTTCTTTTTCCCTCAGCCTTGTATCTCAAACCCTCTGCCTCTTTTCTTCCCCATCTTCTGCCGTTCTTTAAGGGTGAATCCAGGAGGGACTGGACACTGGGCCAAGGGTGGGGAAGGAAAATGACTTTTTTAGGGGAAAGAGGCTAATAAATGACTAGTTTCAGTTCTGAGCAGGCTTTACCCAGAAAACAAGAAAAATTCGCTGTGGTCAAGAAGCAGATATTGGCGAGGTCAGTACAGTGGGTTCCTGGATGAGGAGAAGCTTGTCTGTTTACTATCAAGTCCATCCTGGAGTTAGGGGGCTCATACCTGGGTCTTGGGTGGTAAGGGCTCAATCTCAGGCTTGAAAGGTCAGACCCAGTTTAGAATAAGTCAGTTCTAAGACTGGGAGGATTAGTTCTTGATGGGTAGTCAGCCCCAGATCAGCCCTAACTTGAGTCAACCCCATGTTGTGGGAATCAGTTTCCAGTTTGGGAGATCAGTTCTGGAGTTATCTCCAAGTTTGGAGGGTCAGCTCCTGTTTCAGGGATGGGAATAGGCTCTGAGTTGGGGGTCAGTGCCAGCCCACCATTGGATGTCACAAGCTTCCTCCTATCCCTAGCTGTTCCATTGGCCCCACTATGGGGCTCCACTGGCTGGGGAGTGTCTGTCGGTGCAGGTAGTCAACTGTAGCCGCATGTTCAGCCCCAGGTGAGTAGGCCTGGAGGGACCAGAATGTAGGTGAGGCTGGGGATGGCTTGGTGCCATTCTCCTGGGTCACTCTTGCTCTATGCCACTCACCCAGGTCTCTGGGGACCCTGGTGATCTCCCTGCAGCAGCTACAGAATGCTGGGCATTTGGTGCTACGGGAAGCCCTGGTGGATGAGAATCTTCGAGTGTCCCAGGTGAGCCCCACCAGCCCCCAGCTGGCCTGAAAGTCCCATTTCTCAGAGGGGAAAACCCAAGACCCAGACAGGAGTGGTACCAAGGCCCCCCAGCCAGGGGGGCTGGAGTCAAGGATCAGGGGTCCCCCAAAGGCCTTTCCTGAGTCCCACATGGGCCAAGAACCAGATTCAGCTCTGAGGCCCAGGGTGTGGCAATGGGGCAGATAAGGAATTCTGTGCTGTGCCCTGACCCTGCAGCAGGCTCAATGCTTATGGGAGACAAAGATGAATCTGGTTGGATTTTCCTGGTGCTTCATGGAGGGTCATACAGCCCAGTAGACGTGGACCTGGTCTCAAATCTCAGGTCTGCCATTTCCTATGAGAACTTGAACAAGTTATTTAGCTGTTTTCTCAGTTACATAATGTGGAGTCATACAAAATGTTGAATTTTTCATTCAATCTGTCATCATTTGTTAAGCTCTTATTATAAGCCAAGTGCTGTGCTGGGCAGATTTGCCCTCTTGGAGCTCCCTATCTATAGAGGGAAGCAAACATTAAACAGATATTTACACAAATAAGTGTAAAACTGCAACTGGTGGTTGTTATGAAGGAGCTGGTAGAGGCTGGGAGAGTGTACAACATGTACAAACAGACCTATTTGGGAGTCAGAAAAGGTTCCCTGAGGAAGTAGTGCTTGAGCTTAGACCTGAAGGATGACAGGTGTTAACTAAGTAGGAGGGGAGAATGTTCCAGGCAGAGGAAAAGGCATATGCAAAACCCCCGTGCCCTGGTAGAACATAGCTGGGGTGCAGAACAGAAGCAGAATCCACGATGAGATGAAGCTGGAAAGGTTGGTGTGGCCAGACCATGCAGAATAATGAAGGCCACGGTCAGCAATTTCCAAGGTCAATGAGGGAACTTTGGAGTCAAGTTTGGCACACTCAAGAAGTAACTTGCACATGGTAAGTTCTTAACAGGTTTTGAGTAGTCAGCATTATTAATTATCAGAGAAGAATCACAAGGTACCATAGATGCAGGTCAGGAGGGTCTCTGTTTATGGATGAAATAAAAGACATTGTTCTTGGGCCTCTCTTAGCCCCAGGGCAGTTAGATGGGACTCTGGGGCGCACTGTGTCTGGTTTTAGATCCAAGTGGAACTTGACCTGAAGTACCAGCCCCCAGAGGGCGCTACTGGAACCTGGGCAGAGGAGGACTTTGGGGCACTTGTCTCTGACAGGTAACTGCCATCCCCTCCAGCAACCTAAGCAAGGCCTGGTGGCCCCATCCCAGGCAGGCCCTGGAAAGGGAGAAGTGGTACCCAATTCCAATCTGGATCTACCAGTACTGTGACCCTTGGACATGGACTGACTGGGTAGTCAGGCCTGTTTCTGTCTCACTCTTTTGGTTTCTCCTCCTCCCAGTTCGGAACTGATCATCCCCAATGTGGGCTTCCAGGAGCTGGAGTAAGTGTGGGAAGGATGACCTGAGGTCAATGGGGTCAGTCTTGGGGTTAGAAGCCAGTGATGTGGGGTCAGCCCCAGGGTCTGGGATCAGTAATGAATCAGTTCTAGGGTCAGAGATCAATCCTAGAATTAGGGATCAATTCTGGAATTAGAGGGGTCCCAGGATTAGGGCTCTGTCCTGGGATCAGTGGGGTCAGTCCAAGGGTCAGGGGTCAGTCCTAAGGTCCAGGAAATTGAGGGATCCCCAGAGATGGGTGATAGGTTCCAGACATGTCCCTTGAGGGCCTTTCCTATCAGGCCTGGGGAGGCCCACCTGGAGCGTCGGGCAGTGGCTTTGGGCCGTAGGCTAGCTCGAGGCCTAGCCCAGCAGGATGACGAGGACAACGAGCTGGAGCTGGAGCTGGAGCTGGAGGATGAGCCTGATGTGGAGCTTTCTGGGGTTGTGTTCAGCCCCCTCAAGAGGTAACTTACACTCATGGCATGCCTGCTCCCACACCCTACCAGTGAGTCAGTCTGTCTGCTCACACATACAGACCCACGCCCTTCTACCCTCACAAACACAGGGCCCCAGGGTATGTGGGAAGGGGTCAAGGGTCACTTGCCCATAGGCATAGACACTGCTATGTTCATGCATGCACACAGTTACACGGGCTCACACACATGCAGGTGATGGAAGCTTGATGACAGCAAAGAATTTTGTCCCTTTTGTTCACTGCAGTGTCCCAGAGCCTAAGGCAGTGATTGCACATAGTAGGTGCTCAATAAATCTTTGTTGAGTGAATGACTGGTTTCAGGGCTCCAGGAATGGGTCAAATTCTGGGTGCAGGGTTGAGATGGAGGCAACAAGGCAAGACCTGAAGGACTCAATCTAAAAGTTCAGAGGGAGAAGAAATCTCATCCCCAGCACCATGCAAGTGTCTGTGTGTGTGAGTGGGGAGGGAGCCAAGTGACAGCTGACCTTAAGCCTCTCCACAGCCGAGCCCGGGGCCTGGCCCGCGGGGATCCCTTCCAGGTGTCCAGAGCACAAGACTTCCAGGTACTGTTCTTTTTCCGGGCCCTAAAACGTGGGAAGCACCCACTGTTCTGAGAGTACACATGTTCCTCCCCCTGCCCAGGCAGGTATGCCTTCCTTTCCTCTACCTTCTGCACCCCTCAGGTGGGCGTCACCGTGCTGGAGGCCCAGAAACTGATGGGAGTCAACATTAACCCGTACGTGGCTGTGCAGGTTGGGGAGCAGCGCCGAGTGACTGCCACACAACGTGGGACCAATTGCCCCTTCTACAACGAGGTGGGCACGACCAGGGAAGAGGGCGGGCCTGAGAGAAGGGGCGGGCCCCAGATAGGAACTGTCCCTGAGGGGGCGTGGCCTGGGTGGAACTGAGCCCACGGATGTGCAGGGGCTGGAGGGAAAGGTTGCAGTGAGGCGCTGTGGGGGGCTGGGGAAGGAGGGCGTTCTCTCTGCCAGAGAGTGGCGAAAGCTGGCGTGAGCTCTTCACATCTAACCTTCTCTCCCCACTGCTACAACCCAGTACTTCTTGTTCGAATTTCATGAGACCCGGCTTCACCTCCAAGACTTGCTGCTGGAGATCACGGTGAGGGGGGTAAGGGTGAGAGGTTTCATTCAGCGAAGGGGGGGACACAACAGCTTCAGGACTAACCCCACCTCTCTCTTAGGCTTTCCATTCGCAGACCCTCCCCTTTATGGCCACTCGGATAGGCACCTTCCGGATGGACCTGGGCATCATCTTGGACCAGCCAGGTACCAAACCCTTCCCTTACTAAGACTCATCTGCAGGGACAAGGACCGCAGAAATTGACCGTCTGGGTAGGGACTCTGCGCCGAACCCTGCACATTAACTTCTGAGACCTCCAGCTCCCGCAAAGGCTGAACTCCGCATTCCCGCTGCTCCCTGCTGAGCCAGACGGGAACGGGGCATTGTCCCACACTCCGATTGCAGCCTTAGGACCACCTCGTGCATCCTGCCGGTCTCCCCTGACTCTTGGCCCGCCCCTGCCGCGCAGATGGCCACTTCTACCAGAAATGGGCTCCGCTGCATGACCCCCAGGACACCCGCGCTGGGACCAAAGGCTTCGTCAAGGTCACCTTGTCCGTGAGAGCACGCGGGGACCTGCCCCCTTCACTGCCACCCCCGGGCCCAGGGTCCAGTTCGGACATCGAGAAGTGAGCTGGGGTGAGGTGGGGAGGGGAGACTGGGAACCGCGTGGCCTCTGGGGCGCAGAGAAGGGGAGGGGCCGAGGCTCCAGCCACCCCGCTTCCCAGCGCCGCCCTACCCTAGGAACCTGCTCCTGCCGCGCCGGGTGCCTGCAGAGAGGCCGTGGGCGCGGCTCCGCGTGCGCCTGTACCGCGCGGAGGGCCTTCCCGCGCTGCGCCTGGGGCTGCTGGGCAGCCTGGCCCGCGCCCTGCACGACCAGCGCGTCCTCATGGAGCCCTACGTGCGGGTGTCTTTCCTGGGGCAGCAGGTGAGCCCCCCGCGTCCTACCCTCCCGCGGCTGAGACCCCGATCCCGCGCCGACCCCGCCGCCTGTCTTCGCCGCCGCCTTAGGGCGAGACGTCGGTGTGCGGCGCGGCGCCGGCGCCCGAGTGGAACGAGCAGCTGAGCTTCGTGGAGCTCTTCCCGCCGCTGACGCGCGGCCTCCGTCTGCAGCTGCGGGACGACGCGCCCCTTGTCGATGCGGCTCTCGCCACGCACGTGCTGGACCTGAGGCAGATCTCCCACCCCGGCCGCGCGGGTGAGCGCTTCTAGCCTCTGACCTGAGTCCGGCCCCGCGGCAAACTCCACCTCGACTCGCCCGTGCCCCCTCCCAGTCGCGCCGTAGGTCCCATTCCCGACCGCAAACTTCATCCTCAGGACCCAGCTCTGTTTAGGAAGTCCTGTCCACTCCACACAACAAAAAAACAAACAAGCAAACAAACACCCCAAACCAAAAATACTGCTCCAAAACCGGCCCTGGCCTCTGGAGCCTCACCTGTCACCCCCAGACTGTGAACCCCACCCTCAGCTTAGCCTCTGTTGACAAAATTCTGACCACAGCTGCATGTCCAGTAATCATTCCAGCCCTGCCCTTCCTACAGATTTGCACGCACTGAAAGAAGCCGGCCCACCCATGTCCACTTACCCCAGCCCCTTGCCGCTCACAGCTGCGCCCCAATCCTGACTCCACCTCCAGGGCTCGGCCCAAGAGCCCCTGGTCTTCCCAGTCCTCCCACCCTGTCTTCAGTATAGTGCCTCAGGGAGCTGAGCTGGTTTAGTGCCCCCAGGTCGTGCTTCAGGACAGTGCATCTGCAGCCGGGCCCCTCCCCAGCTCCCACTTTCCAAGGACTTGGAGGTGATAAGGGTGTGGTTCATAGAACCCACTGACCTAGAACCCACTTGCCTCCTGCTCCCCTCCAAAACACTGTTCTTCTTCCCCACAGCGGGGTTTAACCCCACCTTCGGCCCGGCCTGGGTGCCTCTCTATGGCTCACCGCCCAGTGGGGGGCTCCGGGATGGTCTTCAAAGTCTCAATGAAGGCCTTGGCCAAGGCATTTGGTTCCGTGGCCGCCTTCTGGTGGCTGTGTCCATGGAGGTGTTAGAAGGGAGAGCTGAACCTGAGCCTCCTCAGCCCCAACAGGGGTCCATGTTGTCACGGCTCACACGAAAGAAGAAGAAAGCCAGGCAGGGTCAGGCCCCACCTGGGGTTCCACAGCACGTGGCCGCCAGCCACAGCGCTGCCAGGCCTGAGATTCCTAGTGCGATGGAGGTGGAGGTGGAGGAGCTGCTGCCACTGCCAGAGGTGGGGGCTGGGGTTTAGCAGAGGGGGCTGGGCCACTTTCAGCTCTGGAGGGGGTAATCCACTTCCAGACATTAAAACACCATGAAGGGGGTCTCAATTTGGGGGCTTGGGTGAAGAGTGCAGTATGTGTATGCTTGAGTGTATGTACACATGTTGGGGGATGGAGGGCTGCCCAATTAAGGGGGGACCAGAGAGGACCAATCCCCAGGGCCAATGCCCCCGGGCTGCAAGGGGCAGAGAGGGAGGTAGGATACCTGAAGTCACCTCTAGGCCTTGGTTGCAATGTCCTTCTGTGGGCATTGTGGCCATGCATAGTGCCTGCTGCTCCCTGGGAGGGTGAGGGCTGACTCCAGCCTAACTCCCTTCCTCAGAACGCCCTGGCGCCCTGTGAAGATTTCCTGCTCTTTGGTGTGCTTTTCGAGGCCACCATGATTGATCCTGCTGTGGCCTCCCAGCCCATCAGCTTCGAGATTTCCATTGGTGTGTGGCCCAGCCGACTCCCTGAGGGTCATGTTTTGAGGGTGGTCACTCTTGTTTCAGACTTTAGGTCCCTGGAAAGGGCTGTTGACCTTCAGTAAGGGGTGGGTTCTGACCTCGATTGAGGCAGAGGTGGTTGAGGGGAGGGGTCTGACTCTCAGCCTGGCACCCGCTGACCCTTGCTGCTCCTGGGGTAGGTCAAGCGGGCCGCCAGGAGGAGCAATTGGGCCGAGGGTCCAGGGCCAGGGAGGGAACTGAGGGCACACTGGTGGAGGCCCAGCCTCTGCTGAAGTCAGACTCCGGAGCCGGGCTGGAGGAGGAGGAGGAGCTGGGAACCCCTGCTCAGCGGCCTGAGCCCATGGATGGCAGCGGGTGAATGCTCCTGGTGGCTGGAAGGAGGGTGTTGGGAGGTCCCCAAAGACCCAAAATGCCCCTCAAGCCTCTGCTTCTCTCCGCCCCACCCAGGCCATACCTGTGCTTGCCCCTTCGTCACCGCAAGCCATGCGTGCACGTGTGGAGCCGCTGGGAGGATCACACATGGCGCCTGCACAGCAGCAACTGTGTGCGCAAAGTGGCCGAGAGGCTGGTGAGGGCAAGGCTGGCAACCGCAGGGAGACACTGTGCTATAGGGACACTGAGGACACTGAGGCCTGTGAAGGGAGCTCTGAAGCAGGGCTAATGGGCACAGCACTAGGGAGCTGGCACCTTGTTGGTGCAAGGTCAGGGATGGGGGAGGCCAAAAAAGCACAGCTTTTGGGCCAACTGAGGAAGCCAAAAGTCGTGGTATGACAGAGATTCAGAGTTGCTGGACCCAGCAAGGGTTGACTGAAGGAGGCAGATGGAGCTACTGGGGGCTGGGCCAGTAGGGAACTAGAAAGATGGAACCACCACCCGAATGGAGCCAAAGGAGGGCGAGCCAAGAGATGCGGTAGGGAGTGGGGTGGGTGGGGGTGTGGTCTACAAGAATCAGGATTAGGGACCCTCAAGACTCTCTACCCTCTACCCAGGACCAGGGGCTGCAGGAGGTTGAGACACTACAACGAAGGCCGGGGCCAGGTGCCTGCACACGGCTCAAGCAGGCACTGGAAGAGCTGGTGGCTGGGAGCAGGTGAGCCAAGAGCCAGCCCTGTTGCTTCCTGTCCCCGGCCAACTTGGGGTGGTGTGATGGAGACTCATGATGACTGTCTGGACCCAAGGGTGCAGCTGCGTTTGCTTAGCACTTTATGGAATATTGGAAAGGAGACTGTTCCTATCAAGGGAGATTGGTGGAGATTATTGGAGGTTAGACCACCCCCAGATCCTCTGGTGCTTGGGCTGTCTTCCATCTCCTTTCCCACACTCTTAGAGGCTCATACATACTGTTCTATCTCCTCAAACCTCCTTTCCTACTCTCCTGCACACTTGTTTCAGCTAATGACCTTCTCTCCTACTTCCTGAGAAAACAGCAGCCTCACCTTCCCCCACCCAGGCCACCACCCTGCAGCCCCTGCATCCATCTGCACTCCTTCCTTCCTGCTACAGTGGAGGAGGTGTCCCTGCTCCAATAGTCACAGCTGTGATATTTTTTTGGGGGGGCGGGGGGACAGAGTCTCACTCTGTTGCCCCAGCTAGAGTGCCATGGCATCTACCTAGCTCACAGCAACCTCAAACTCCTGGGCTCAAGCGATCCTCCTGCCTCAGCTTCCTGAGTAGCTGGGATTACAGGCATGCCCCACCAGGCCTGGCTAATTTTTTCTATTTTTGGAGATGGGGTCTCGCTCTTGCTCAGGCTGATCTCAAACTCCTGAGCTCAAATGATCTGCCAGCCTTGGCCTCCCAGAGTGCTAGGATTACAGGTGTGAGCCACTGTGCCCGGCCTACAGCTGTGATGTTGATTTCATCTCCTCTCACCTACCATAGGATTGAGCTCTGCAATTGTCCTTTCTATCCTGTGTCATCAACTGGTCCCTAGTTGCTAAGTCATTGCTGTAACCACATAAACATGCTCTAGTCGCTTTCATCTTTGACTTTCACTCCCTGAATTCCATAACCTGCTTTAGGTACTTAAGTGTTTTTCTGATCCTCTTCTCAAAAGAGTTATTGGTTTCTTTATTCAATAAATATTTATGGCATTTACTATGCCAGACACTGTTTTAGGCACACAAATAACAGTGGAAAAGCGTTCCTGCTCATAAAAATCCCAGAAGCTTACATTCTGGTGTGGGGAGTGTGAAGGGGGATGGGTGGAGACACAAATGATAATCATGTGAACAGAGAGATAGAAATATAAGTAGGATAAGGATAAGTGTTAATGGAGAAAAAAAAGCAAGGATGTGTTAAAGAGAGGTGTTGCAGTTTTAGGAGGGGTATGGAGGGGAGGCCTCTGTGAAGGTGTGACATGAAGATGGAGCAAACCATATCTGCAAGGATGTTCCAGGCAGAGGGGACAGCATGTGCAAAGGCCCTGAGGTAGAAGCATGCTTGGTGTGTTTGAGGCAGAACAAGGGAACCAGTGTGACTGCAGCAATGTGAGCAGAGTAGATGAGGCTGGAGGGGATATAGGAAGGAGGATGATTCTGTTGGGCAGATCATGTGGGAGCCTCTTAGGGCATTGTAATGACCTTGGCTTCTACTCTGAGTGAGATGAATAGCCATTGAAGGTTTTTTTTTTCTTCCAAATCATCATCTGCAAGTACGTAGACAGTTTTGAAAAGGAAAGAGATATAGTCTAACATATATTTATCCTTTAAAAGGACCAGTGGGGGAGGGATGGTGTGAGAGAAGAAGCAGGGCGATTACTAAAGAGGGCATAATGATAAACCAGGTGATAGAGGTAGATGAACTGATGGTTGCCATGGAGATGAGCGGCAGGAATGGATTCAAGAGAAACTGCAGCTGGTGGCACCTCATCCGAGCACCGGACTGAGAAGGCTGTGAGGGAGGCTGGGGTGGGACGCCTGCTCCGAGGGAAGTGGCCCCACTGGTCAGCACTCTCTCCTTTGACTCCCACCTGTTGTGCAGACAGTTTTGCCACGGTGCTGAGCGCAGGACAATGACTCGGCCCAACACCCTGGATCGATGCCGAGGGAAACTGCTCGTGCACAGCCTGGTAAGGGCCTGGGGAGGGAGTCAGGGGCACCGGGCTGGGGCCCTCCACTCATGGTCTCCTCTTGGCCTTCCAGAACCTGTTGGCAAAGCAAGGACTGCGGCTTCTCCGGGGCCTGAGACAGGGCAATGTGCAAAAGAAGGTGGCATTGGCCAAGAAGCTCATGGCAAAACTGCGCTTCCTGGCTCAGGAGGTAATTCCTCACCTAACCCATTTCCCTACCCTGGGTGCCTCTTTCCCTAAGCCTTTTGACCATTATGGAGGCCTCTCAGCTGTGTGATGTAACATTTGTTCTTTGGAATGATGCCAGGGCTGGGACTATCAGAATCCCAGGTTTTGGCACCAAAGATGTCAGCGTGGGAGTCTGCCCTTGGTTCTTGGTGTGCTCTTGGCCGAAGAATGACTAGACACACCAAAGTATTAATATCAAGTCTGGACTATTATCCTAGGACTATTATCCTCTGACTCCTTTCTTGGAAAAATCACCAGCAAGGCCAATATGAGAGAGTAACCTCAGGCTGGGAGCAGTTTCACAAGAATAGCTTTTTATTGTAGAACTATAGTCCTGTCTCCACAAGTGGGGAGAGACAGACCAACTCAATGACTGACCCACTCATTTCCTTCTGACTTCTCGGATTGTTTCCTTTTATTAGCCCATTCTGGAGGAGGACTCTTAGGAGGTGTAGGACATTATCAAATGATCAACAAGTGTCCTCAAAATTCCATCTGCATATATAAGCCCCCACCAAGAAAGCCCACCTGGGGGTGGTGAACCACAATGCGGATTCAAGCTAATGGCATATTAATTACCCTTAGGTTACTCTAGGTCACTTTCTAAATCTTATTCTGCCTGGGCTGGGGAATTGCTAGATTGAGAAAACATTCCCCCCTTCCCCAGGTGTAGCAGTTGCTCGGGATAGGATTAAAGGAGGGACAACACTAAAATGGAGTGCCTGCCCTTATCCATCTTCAAAGGTAGAACAATTGCTCAAAATAGCGTCAAAACAGGGAGCCTGTGTCCCGAGAAAAGCCGGAGATCCTAACTATGTACCGGTACCTGACAGGACCTGTTGCTTTGGGTACAGGGCCAAGCTCTGTTTGGATTAGCTAAGGGTGAGGATGAGAGTTCTGGGGCCCAGCAGCGATCTAGTGAACATTCAGGATCTCTTTGGATGAAGAGTTGAGAGTAAGCTTCCTTGGGCCTGACCTCCCTGGTCTGAAGTGCTGAGTGTGACACGTGTGATAGGTGAGGGGAGTTCACATGTTTGGAACGCTTTCCCTGCTAAGCATCTGCGTTGTTGTCTTGTGTGATCCTTCCAACAACCTTGGGAAGAGGTTACCCCATTTGACAGAGCAGAAACCAAGGCTTCGAGAGAGAAAGTGACTGGTCCACCATGCTGCAGCTGGTTAAGTAGCAGAGCTAGAATTCAAAGCCAGTTCTACTGACTTAGTTCTCTGAAGCGCAGGGTGTTTAGACTGCTGGGGCCAGTATGTTCTCAAAGAGTGAGGAATTAGATTTTGGCCTCAGACCTTGAAGAATAAGCTGGAGTTTCAAAAGCAAAAAAGAATGAATAACATATGCAAAGATCCAGAATTGGGAGGCCTGGGCAGACAGGAGACAGAGTTTTGGAAGGAGAGACAGGTGATATTATTAATATATTGAATTTTAATGCAAAATTGCTTTTAAATTTGTAATAAAAACCTCCTGTCAGCTGACATTTAAAATTCTTATGATATAAATATGTGTACTTAAGTAATATAGTTTGGTTTTGCTGTTTTTCAAACTTTCTATTATTTTACTTTCATATTATATTATTTTGTGTTTTTGGCTTAACATTGTGAGTTTTATCCATATCATTGCATGTAGCTGTAATTTGTCAATTTTAATTGCTGTATAATATTCCTCTGCATTCATATACTGTAATTTACTTATCCACCATACTGTTGATGGATATGTGAGTTGTTCCCAAAGGGCAGAGATTAGAAACGATACTTCCAAGACTATTTTTGTACATGTCCTAGTGTGCAAGGGCAAGAATTTCTCTATGGCTGGTGGTTCTCAAACTTTTTGGTCTCAGGACTCCTTTATACCCTTAATAATTATTGGGGATCTCAAGGAGCTTTTGTTTATATAGCTTATATTCTTTGATATTTACCATTATATAAATTAAACCTGAAAAAATTTTAAACCTTGAAAACAAAAAATTATGTATTCATTTAAAATAATAGGAGTAAGCCCATTGCCTGTTAACATAAGTAACATTTTTATGAAAAATAGCCATATTCTCCAAAAAGAAAATCTGTAATGATAAAAGAGGCATTGTTTTACATTTTTTGCAAATGTCTGGCAGGGAAATTTTTATACTCTTCTATATTAAAATTCATTGCTCTATCTTGCCCTTTGAATGGGTCTCCTATCCTTGCATGATCATGCATAATAAGATCATTTGAAACCATCATGCATAGGTCAGTTGGAAATTTGGTTCACTGACTTATGTAGATCTTCCAAATGTTGACATATTTTGTTATTTTGAAATATCACATTCATTAATATCACCTCCAATCTCATTAGAAAAATCTTTAAGTATTGGGAAGGAAGCTGTCAGGCTCACAATGGCAGATATAATTTTTCTGAAATTCTAATTTTCTCTTGTTTTGTTCTTGATTTTAGAGAGAAAGCTTTCCATTCTTTCACTACTAAGTGTGATGTTTAGCTGTGTTTTTTATATATGCCCTTTATCAGATTGATAAAGTGTGAGCCACTGTGCCCAGCCCGATTTTAGTCTTTTTAAATTTGCTGTTTTGTGTCCTAACATATAGTCTATCCTGAAGAATGTTTCATGGGTGCTTGAGTAAGATGTGTATTCTGGGCCAGGCGCGGTGGCTTACGTCTATAATCCTAGCACTCTGGGAGGCTGAGGTGGGCGGATTGCTCAAGGTCAGGAGTTCGAAACCAGCCTGAGTGAGAGCGAGACCCCGCTCTTTCTACTATAAATAGAAAGAAATTAATTGGCCAACTAATATATGTAGAAAAAATTAGCCGGGCATGGTGGTGTGTGCCTGTAGTCCCAGCCACTCAGGAGGCTGAGGCAGGAGGATCGCTTGAGCCCAGGAGATTGAGGTTGCTGTGAGGTAGGCTTACACCATGGCACTCTCTCTAGCCTGGGCAACAAAGTGAGACTCTGTCTCAAAAAAAAAAAAAAAAAGATGTGTATTCTGCTATCATGGTGGAGTGTTCTAACATGTGTCTCTTAGGTCTACTTGGTTAGTACTGTTCAAGTCTTCTATTTCCTTAATGATATTCTATATAGATGTCGTATTCACCATTGAAAGTGGTATATAGAAATCTCCAATTACTATTGTAGAGCTGAATACCTGACATCACATTTTTAATTTCTCTTATTTCCAGTCGGTTCCAGTTTTCACATGTTTGCTAGAATCACCCATCTTTTAACTCCTGTGTACTTTCCCCACTAGATCCTTTAGAATTTTTATCATTGTTATTTTAATGTCCCTGCCTAATAATTCCAACATCTGGATTATCTCTGTAACTACTTCTGTTGATTATTTCCTCTCTTGACCATGAGTGACATTTTTTGCTTTTCCTATGTCTTGTGATTTTTTTTTTATTATAGGTCTAGATTTTTGTATAAAAGAACACTAAAGTTGGCCGGGCGCGGTGGCTCACGCCTGTAATCCTATCTCTCTGGGAGGCCGAGGCGGGCGGATTGCTTGAGGTCAGGAGTTCGAAACCAGCCTGAGCAAGAGGGAGACCCCGTCTCTACTATAAATAAAAACTAATTGGCCGACTAATATATATAGAAAAAATTAGCCGGGCATGGTGGCACATGCCTGTAGTCCCAGCTACTTGGGAGGCTGAGGCAGCAGGATTGCTTGAGCCCAGTGTTTGAGTTGCTGTGAGCTAGGGGGGGGGCTGACGCCATGGCACTCACTGCTAGGCCGTAGGCAACAAAGCGAGACCTCTGTCTC